TGTAGGAGTAGCAGTAGTAGTAGGAGGAGGAGTAGTAGTAGTAGTAGCAGGAGCAGGAGTAGGAGTAGGAGTAGGCGTAGGAGTAGGAGTAGGAGTAGGAGTAGGAGTAGGAGTAGGAGTACGAGTAGTAGTAGTAGTAGTAGTAGCAGCAGCAGCAGCAGTAATAGTACAGGAGTAGGAGTAGGAGTAGGAGCAACTAGTACGCTAGCAGCCGCCTAGCACTGGCTCTAGCTATTCCAGCTGTAGAAGCTGCAGCAGCAGCAGCAGCAGCAGCAGCAACAGCAGTCGTTGTCGTAGGGAACACCAGCAGGAAGAGAAGCAGCCTGTGGTAGTAGTAGTAGTAGTAGTAGTATAGATCCTGCTATTGTAACGTGGTGATCGGGCTGGTTGTGGTGGTGGTCGTGGCTGTGGTGGCTGCAGAAGCAAACATTACAAGAGGCTCAGCAGCAGCAGCAGCAGCAGCAGCAGCAGCAGCATTAGGAGCAGGGAGAGGAACGGGTCAGCATTAGTAACATTAGTATTTAAAGTGACTGTCTGTATGACACAACTTAAGTCACGGCAACACGCCACACTGCAAAGGTTGCAGATCAATGCCAGTCCCAGGGAAAAGACACCGCTTGGAATAATGCGCACGAGCGGCGACGCGTAGACGCTTGCAGGAGTTGGCACATCCGGTGACACTGTTGCGGCCCCAAAGGGCGGTGTGGACGTCACGGCCGGCGCAGAAGACCCAGGCACGCTGCAGTCCAGGATCTCCACCTTTGGGCTTTGAGGCTCTCGAAAACTGGCGTTGCAGCCGTCCGTCCGTGCACTTTCTAAGTGTTGTCTTGACCCGGAGCCTGCGGGCTGATAGACTCTAGGTGCGAAATATGCAAAGGCCGTCATGGAACCTCTGCAAAACAAACAGAGGAGATCCGAACACTGCGCCAATGCTTTGAACTTCAAGCAGGTAGTCAGGACGATGGTTCATCCGTCCGAACTGCACTTGTCCTAGCCTCCCCCGCTCTGCCAATAATGTCGGCTACAAGGTAGAGCTCAGCATCCAAGGGCACCTCCCACGTCCGGAAGCTGTTCTCAACAAGGGCTCAAAGTTGCAACAGCCGCGCCAGCCTTGATTCCATCCTCGAGCGTGAGACGGCCGATAACTTCACCATTCCTGCCGGCTTCAAAATGGAACACATGCGAACAAGTAATGCAAGCTTCGCTAAATCCGAGGGCGAGCTTGCAGCGAAGTACAGCAAGAACTCCCCATGTGGTGTAAACATGTGCTTTCGCATTAAACGGCGCTCCCAAGACCGCCCGTTTCAGCCGTGTCGCGTGCAGATGCGTGCAGAGCGTTAGCTGCACGTTTCTACTGGTGTACCGACATCTTTTTGGGGGTCGCAGGGAGCAGAAACCTGGGAGCTGTGTCCTGTAGCCCACGAGCTCTGAACCTCCGCCGGTCACCTGAAGTGGTCGATGAGAAACGTCGACTCAGACACTTCGGAGCAAGGAAAGGACCAGAGCCCGAATTTCTTCTCGGAAGCTCCTAGAGCCCTCCCTCGGAGCAGTGCCTGTAGCCCGCAGGTGTCGCCGATTTCCTCAAAGTCAGGGGGGAACAAGGCATGTTGATGCAGTCTTCCTGACTGCAGCGACAAATCACTGGTCTTGTAAGCGCGTCGAAGACCATCTGCATGCATTAGGAACATGTGCCACTGATGCTTAAACCTCAATGTGATCAATATGGCTTGCAGTCGCAGGGACGTCATCCGTGGATTCTCCAAACAAACTCACTGTCTTCTGCAGCCGCTACAACAGCGACCAATCCAAAATTCTGTGACAAAGATGTTGGCTGGCGAACCTGCAATTCGAATTGCCCCTCACTGTGTGACACCTGCCACTGCATTCTCGCATGTAGTCCCTCGTCTCTGACAGCTGCGGTCACACGAGGCTATGCATCCGACATCTTACGAACTATGAAACACGATGACAAGCAAAATCGGAAAGGAGTGTCAGCGATCTCAGTGTGTAGAGAGCAGGTTCATCTCTCGACACTATGACAATCTCCGCCGAACCGGTTAGTCAGCATTGGCAACTCTATGATGTGGAAAAACAGCCACACTACCCGAAGCAGCCGGCTTAGCGAAAGCAGCAATTGCACAAGTGCGGCTTGCCCACGGAGTCATTCCATCAACAGTTCTGATGGCTTTTGGCGAGTAGGTCAGAACGGGCTCGCCGACCGGAAGGCAAGGGTGGCTAGAGCATCTCTTAACGGCGCCTACAACGGCACGTAGCACAGCATCCGCCTTAGAGGCTACCACGGCAGGACACTAGCGCAGAGAGATCAGTCGGCACGATGAGTTTTACACGCTTGTAATGCGAGCTTTGTCAAGTTGTTCTGGCACTGCGGTTTAGCACCCGGATTACTGTCTCGCCAAACACTAAGCTGTCCAGCATTAAAAACAACCCACAGATGCATTGCACTGCACATGCCTAAGGCCTAAGATTCGGTTCACGAGATGGAGTAGGCTCCGGACTTGGGTGAAGGCGGTTGCAGTCTTACAGCGGCAATGGACAAGCCGGTGCGTAAGCCCAACTGACAGATTCACTGGCTGGCACACCCAATGCCTAAAGTCACATGCACCCAGAAGCCTCTAAGCTGAAAGGCATGCGACAGCGCTGTTACGCCGAAGATGAAAGAACCATCAATTCTCGAATAAGCTCATGTTGCATACTTGATGGGTTCATTCCGCGGACACAGAGCACCCGCATCAGACGCCTCTCAAATCCGAAAACGACCGCTGCAACAAACAAGTCCAAGAAATCCCAAGAACAGATAGAGGCAAGCATCAAGAGTGGCTGTATTCCAACCAGCAAGAGTTGCCGCACGACTGGGCAACACTCCTCACGCATGGTTCAATAGACGGAGTGACCGCGAGGCCCAGCTTAGGGCTTAGGTGTGTGAAGCTCCCTCTGCCTTACCTACCCTTCTTCGGACGATGGTGTTAGAAAAGCACCGTATTGGAGATTGTCGCATCCGCTGCCTGGCGGATAAGAGCGACCGTTGATGCGGAGCATTCCATCACCTAGGACGGTTTCTTCAGGAGGGGCCATCCCCCGAGGGAAGGGGTTGTGTTTAAAAGGTCTTCTGCAGACGAGATGTCGAATTTGGATACAGCTAGTTCTTAAAGACCTACGCCATAGCCGTAGCCCAACCAGGACTTTCTTCCAGGAACGGCTGATGCTGTGGTTCAGGAGGCCCCCGCTCATTCTAGCACCGGCTAGGCCTGCGTTCGATCTCTTCGCTTCTGCGGCATTCCCATTGCGACTTAATGGTCAACTACAACTGTTCTCTCTTGCGCTGTGCAACTAAGATGCTTGCCGCAAGGACCCAGATTTCCGACCTAGACATATCAAACCTATGCTCAGCAGGAGAAATGCAACTGCGTGGCCGCGTAAGACCCAAGTGTCAGGGAAGTCGGCCCAGCACAAACCTGCCAGGCGGGCAGCTCGGCCTCTGCCTAGAGCCCTGGGCATCCCGAGGCCCTCGTGGCCCTCGTGGCCCTGGGCCATGCCCTGGGCCTTGCTCGTTCAGCTTCCCGATCTCTTCTGGGCAGAGGCGCGTGACTCCCATGTCCAGGCCGGAAGACCAGCTGTCCACATCACTCCTCAGCAGGACTTCGTCATCCGGGTTGCGTAATCTTGAGACGAATACCAGCTGTGCTTAACATTACAGCAACGTGTTCAACAGCAGGGATATGTCAAGAATTGGTCTCCGTGCAAGCTCTCATCTCCAGCATCGAAATCTTTGCCACGATCACTCGCTGGGGAGCCCGTGTCCACACAAGCCAAGCAACTTGATCCCGGATTAGGCTTGGTATACATTGATGCGAAAACATGGGGTTGTAAATAGACATTGGGACATGCTGGTCGACAGGACCATCCGCTATGCCCTCCAAACACAGCTCAAAGGTTTTGTTCAACCACACGAAATCACCCCAAGGAACTCGATCTTTACCTCCGTGTAGTAGTCGCGGGACCCGCCTGGACCGAGAGGGCTGTAGGCTGTAGTCCATTCTGTTCAGCCTAGACTTTTGTCCTGTCCTTGCTTATTCCGTCAGCGTGTTCGCTGTTGGCTTTGCAATCACAAGGCCGTATGATGTCGTAGGATCGATCTTGCATCGTGAGCCCGAATCATGAATTCCGAAACCTGCCCGGACATCCCTGTGTTTTTTCTGTCACGTGATTCAGGCTCTACAGTGTCGGGCAGGTGTTATAGTCTGTGGCAAACTGTCAGCGAATGCCTGAATACCCGCCAGAGCATTGGAACCCTCGCCCCGTGCTATAGCAACTTGGGCAGTTGTCGGCATGGTAAGATCTCTCACTTCTCCCCATCTCTCGCTGCAAGGGCACCTCGGTCCGCCATAGCAATGGGCCCATCCGAAACCACTATGCAGTGGCCCTCCGGTCGCGTGTAGTGGTCCTTTTGGGAGTTTGCATGCGACTTGTCTGGGTACGGGTTCTTCGTCGACGGTTGATGTGGGTACTGATGCAAACAATGCATTCTCGGCTGTACGTGCACACGACGTTGGGCACGAAAAAGGGTCGGTAATGGGAACCTCAAGATATTCTATTGTAGATTCCTCATCTATGTGCATGAACACACATGCACACTGACATACATATCATATGTAGCCATATACTTTCTTTCGGAAGGGATATGAGCAAGGGAGTTGCCTCCCCTGCCCGCGCGCCGTCAGGCGCCCCCGACATGTGCGGTGGGCGATTAGTGAAAAAGCGCTCTCTCCAAGAGGCAATATTTGCCTGTGTAAGGGGAAAAGCAGTCGCACTCAATCGATGGAGGTCGGGATGATCCGTGGACCCCTAACCTCAGGAAGGTACCAAATTATGAAAGGGGAGTTACCCCTGCTATCCCGGCCGCCCCGAAAGGCAAAAGTGGATTGTTGACCATGGGATGGGAGCTCAAAAACCAAACGACCAGTCAGTAAAAGCAGCGTCTAGAGTGACTAAGCCTACAGAGCTACGGTAGCCATATACTCTCTCGCTCTCTCTCTCTACGAGCCATGGGGTTCGGGGCAGGTCAAGCCCCTCCCCCCGCACGCGAACGCGCAGCCGCGGTCCTTGGCTGGCTTGGGTTTCCTGGTGGGGGGTTTGCCCCCCCAGGCTTGGCTTCACATTGTAGGGCCATAAAAGGAAAGAGTCCCCCAACCGATGGCAGTAAAAAGCAAAAAGATGCACAGTGCGAAGCAATGCGAAACAAGTCTATAAGGCTGGGGCCCGAATCGGTGGGGAACTCTATCAAATGGATTGGGGTGCCAGGCCAAAAACGTGCTGTTTCCCCCCGCTTCATTGAGCAGGTTTTGGATTGCCTATTGGTGGAACGAAAGCGAATTGAGGCTCCGAATTCACGGTAGGTTTACAGGTGAGTTGAAAAGATGCTAAGACTTGTGGGCGATGTGGCCCGATACATGGCTTGAACGGAGATGGCACTAATGCCATTAGAATTTCACACCTAGTCCCTCTCAAAAGTTGTTGCGACGGTCTTTTTCTCAGCAGGCGGTCGGCACCAAGCTTTCACGAACCAAAACTTGCAAAGGGACAAGTCCCCCATCTGGAGTGGGCTCCCCCTTTCAGCTTC